CCCCCAGTTCCAAGTGCAGGGCCTGGCACAGAGGAAGCCTCAAGAACCTTTAGTGAAGGGAGGGAGGAAGGAATGGGTAGGATCTTGTATCACATCCACAGGCCTTAGACTCCAACGCACCCCAGAACCCCCAAGACCCTGGGTGAGTATCACATTTTAAGAGGAATGAATATCTACAGGAAATATTTGTGGGCCGTGGAGTGGTCTCCCTTGGAGGAGAGAGGTTCACGACCATGACACTCATACCTCGGGGCCACCCCATGGCAAGAGGGCAGGACCTGGTGTGCCCCCAGAGAAAAGCAACACTGGAGAGGCGGGTTTTGGCTAAAAACAAAGGACTTCTCAACAGGCAGAGTGACCCACTGGTCCCCAGGATACACCAAACCGCCTGTCACAAGAGGTGTGCTGGCAGGGGCCAGGACAAAGCCCTCCCAGCTCTATGACCCTGTGAGCCTAGGGATCAGTCTGTGGTTCCAAGTCAGGGAACTCCTCCTCTGCTGATGTTCTGTTCTGTTCCAGCACCGTGCAGTGTTCTTCCTCACATAATCCTTACCCCATTCCACTTAGGGGATGGTCATTGTTATCCCATTTCACAGGTGAGAAAACTGGGGCTCAGAGAGCTCAGAAGTAGCTTCTCCAGCATCAGAGCTAGGAAATGTCACCTGAGCTTGAAACCAGGCGTACCAACCCCAGAGCCACGCGGCTTTGGTCGATCTGATTCCAATATCCTGTGGTCCCAAGATTGTTTCTTTGTTGCCTGAAACCAGCTCTTCCCCAGGGGGTGGACCACAGGGCCCCCAGCGCCACCACAGACTGCCCCCCCAACCACAGCCCCTACTCGGTCTTACCACTCTGTCAGCTCTGTGGTTTCCCGAACCCTCTCAACCAACAGCAGCTTTGACCATAAAGGTTCCCGCGAGGAGCTGCCGGTCAATTTTCCTTGCTCGGTTCTCAATTTCTCCTGAAGGGGAAGGTAGCGCAGGCCCAAGGAGGAGGGCACGGGCTGCCCCTGCCCACAAAGTGTCCATGTTTAGCTCACACTCAGGCCACACTGTATCATTTCAGCTTAATTTTATTTCCTCTTATAAATGGGCACAGCACGGGAAGTGTTAACAAAAGAAAAGAAACACAACCAAACAAAAAAACAGAACCAAAAAACCCAAACAGCTCCTTCACGAGGCTGGGACAGGTGAGTCCCCATGGTGGGGCAGGCACCTGGGCCTCCTTTCCCAGTCTTTTCCCTCCACTCTTCCTTAGAGCTTTGGCCATGAACTCAGGACAGGTATGGTTAATAAACAGGTTATGGGGGAGAGAAAGGGCAGGGAAGGCCTGGGGGAGGGAAGGACAAATCCCCACCCACCGCAGGCTGGGTTCTCGGAGGGCTCTGTACAAGAGAAAGGACGCACAGGAGGGACACTGTCTTCAGGGGGCTCTCTGGAGCCACACTGCCTACGAAAAATATTTACATGTATTTGCCACGCTGGGGCTGGGTGCACTGAGCTAGCTGCCAGGTGGGCACCTGGGGGATGCTGGAACCATCAGCCCTTAGATGGCAACCCCAGGACCCAGTCTTGGCATCTCTGTAAATCTGTACAGTCTGTGGGCTTCTATTTACAGGCAGGAGGCCTGAGGAAGCAAGTCCAGGGTGGTGGCTGCCAGGAGAAACTCAGGAGAGCCGAGGAGGTGGTGGCCACTCCTGCCCCGCCCGAGAGGCAGAGATGGGTCTGCTTCCTGTGCCCAGGGCTCCAGCCTGGAGGCCCGGACAGATGGCTTTGCCGACCCCAGCGAGGTCTGGCCTGAGCACCCCAAGCCACTGCCCGCAGACCTGCCTCATCCAGCCCTGGTTACCACCCATCCACCTCCAGGGCTCAAGGGGACAAACCTTTCAGGAGACGTCCCCCCTCCGGCCTCCTAGGGAGACAGAGCCTGGGTTCTAAAAAGTCACAGCCAGAGCGGGGGGGGGGGGGGGGGGGGGGGGGAAGGGGGGGGCCCAAACCCCACCTCCTGAGGCCCCAGCTGCCCTCCCTGGTTCTGAGAGAGGTTCTCAAGCCACACAAGTTCCCTCCCCTTTGGAATTGGCCCTGCTTCCAGAAAATGCCAGGGCCCTGCAGGGTGCCCTCCCCGAGCACACTCGGGTGTGAACCAGACACATCGTACCCAGGCTGGGTGAGAGCCCCGCACCCACATTGCACCTAGGACAGCTCCAGCTCGTCCTTTTAACCGACCTTGTCTTGGCGCGCCCTGCTGAGCTGGGCTGGCCAGAGTGGATTTGGGCTAGTCAGACTGTGTTCAGTTTCATGCGGACAAAGCCTGGGCCTTTGTCTCAGGTCCAGGGCTCCATGAACAAGGCCCTCGGCCTCTTCTCTCAAATGCAAAGGACAGAGAGAAGAGGCCAGTGCCAGGAGGCAAAGCCCCAAACCCCAAGCTAGAAACCAGCCCTCAGGATGTGGGGAGTCAGGCCTGCTGGGGCCGGGCGAGACCCACGCAGGCCACCCCAAGCCCATTCCAGCCAGACCAAGCCCAGCTCAGCCATCCTTGCCGGGTCCTACCCCACCATGGGCCCCGGCCTCTGTTGGGGTCTCCAACCCTGGGCCCACCACCCTGGGTTTGCGTCCCCTCTCCTCCATGCTCCCTGGCTTCTCAGCCTCGGCCTGCCCAGGCCTTGTCACCAGAGCTGCTGGCCCCAAGAGAGCAGCCCGCCAGGGAGCAGGGTGGAGGGAGGCCGGGCCTTTCGTCTCCCCCTGCTGCAGCCCTTCTGCTCCAGGAACGACCAGGCCAGGTCACCTCTCCCTCAACAGATCGTAGGCCCAGGGAGCCTCCCCTCACTCCTGCCCCCTTCAAAGGCTGGGTTCCTCACAAGCCTCCAGGCCCTACCCAGGGGGACACTGAGTCTAAAAGACGGAGCCCTGCCCTGGAAGTAGGATGGTGGAAGAGACAGGGGTGAAGCTCCCCGGAAGCCCGCCCTCACCACCTCAGGCCTCCCTCCCCCTCCCCCCTGCAGAAGGCCACTGCCAGGGAGTCTTGAAAAGGGAACAGAAATAAGAGCTGGGCTCCTGACTTTAATCTGGGTTGAAGGTGAGGGGTGGGGTGTGAGCACCAGCCAAGCACAACTCAGACCCCGTCCCGTGGCTTCAGGAGCCCCCACCGAGCACACCCTCCCCAAAGGAGATCTGTGGCCCCACATTTAAAATATCTACAGAAGCGGCCCCCCTTGCAAGGGTAACAAAGAAGGGGGGAGGCGGGCTGAGGCCTGCGGTACCCCCACCCCCACCCGCTCTCAGCTCCTGGCTTGGGGCCCTGTGTCGGGACGGGCTGCTCCCAGCTGCAGGTCCATCCGGCTGCACCCAGGAGAACCATCAGGTGGTTTGGCCAATGAGTGGGTCAGTGTCCACGGGGAGGGCCCCAGGGTGGGACCGAGGTGGGCCTGGCGAGGCCAGTTGGGGGAGGGGAGAGGGTGCAGGAGGCCCCGGGCGGCAGGGCCCACCCTCGCAGGCACTTTGGGGACTTGTGTCCTGGGAGGCAGAGTCGGCCCCTAGCTCAGAGCAGAAGGGGGACACAGGGAGACCAGGAGCCAGGCCACATGCCCCTCCCTGCCCAGGGCTTGCAGTCCTGGGAGACCCAAACCCCCTCCCCAGCCTGGGGCCACATTCCAGGAACCAGCCTGCCTTCCTCAGCAAGGCTCCTAGCTAGTGGGGGGCTGGCCCTGGACTAACCCCCTGGCGAGCAACAGAGGGGAGAGAAGCAGGCCTCCCCAGTGTGCAGTGCCCCAGGGGGGCTCGTGGCAACATCCCCTCTGGGCCACACTTTATTCCGGGAAAGGCAAGTAAGTGCCCCCACCTATTCTCGCGTGAGTGTGGGGCTGTGGGGGGGGATTGTGCATCCACGTGGGATTGTATCTGATGTGCCGGGGTCATTGGCAATGCGGGTGGTGTTGGCGTCGTGGGGAGGGACTGAGTGTGACAGGGCAACTCAGGGGACCCAATATGGGCTGACTGTTCCAGCTTGACTCCACTGTCTCCAGTAAGCCTGAAAGCTGGAGACAACATGCGTGGTGCCACAGTGTACGTGGGGGGGTGGGAGGGGCAGAGAGAGGGGCAGGCCGCACCGTCACCATCAGGCAATGATGTCTGGTGACTCGCATGGTCGTAAGCATTGGGGGGCCGTGAGAAACCCGTGAGACTCAGCATCTTTGGAAGAATGTGTGTGTCTGGGACAGGTCTGCACCGGCTGGCTGGTCAGGACTGTGTACGCTTCTGTCTTTGCGTGCTTCTGTCTCTGTGTGTGACATGATGCGTGACCGCGTGGGAGATCGTGTCTGGGCAGAGCCCACTGGCAAGAGGGAGGTCCGAGCAGCCCCGCCCCGCCTCGCCAGGGGCCCCCAGGGCACTCTCAGGAAGTCAGTTCCTTAGGGGCAGGCGGGGATGAAGCGGAGGCCTGTGGTACGTGTGCCCAGGGCAGGGGTGAGGGGAGAACGACCCCACAGCCCCAGAGAGGCCAGGACAGACCAGGCTGGCGGCAACAGGTACCCTTTGTCCCGGGCAGAGAGGGGCCCTGGGACAGTGGCGAGAGGCTGCAGTGTCTCAGTGATTTCGAGGGCTGAGCCTGCCCAACGCTTGTCCTGGAAACCAGCCTGAGGGTCTCTCTAGCTCCAGGAGGAGACCGGGGGG